GAAACTCTCTATTCGTGAATTTTTGTAGGAATATTTTAGTCGGGCAAAAATCATGTGCTCACAAATGGCATGTGGTCGCAGGTGTGGCGTGAAGGCCGCACAAGCGGAGTCAATTATGTGGAAGAGTGATCGAAGAAGCAGTAAGAGCAATATGGGCAGAAGTCACAGATCCGAGGAAAATTCCGCATCTGCGAGACTACAGATGCAGACAATGAGGTCACATGTATGCTGAAGCCGCAGAAGCGTGTCCGCAGAAGCAGATAGGAGATCGCAGAAGCAAAGGTAAGGCAACCTGGGCAAAATCGCAGAAGCGGAACTTTTTCCGCAAAAGCGGGATCGCAAATGCGGTCAAGTGATCCGCATAAGCAAAAACACTGGGCAGACTCTATTAATTCAAGTGTTCGGGATTTTTATCATTATTGGACATTTTGAGCACGGGTTTGGCGATTTTTGAGAGCATTTTTGAGAGATTTCTTGAGGTAAGTCTCTTGTACTTATTTTTGATCAATAACCTTGTTTCCCCATTGATTCTCACCTTGATTGTGTGTGTGTTTAAGGTGAAATTTGGGAGTTTGAGGCTAGGGATTTGGAGAGTTTAATTTGGAGGTTTGAGTGGCAACTTGGTGTCTGATTTTGGTACTTTTGGTATGGGTGAACTCGATATTGAATGAGTATTCGTACCTTGTGACTTTTATCTGATTCCGAGCCGTAGGCCAGGGTCGACTTTTTGGGACGATTTTCGATTCTTTGCTAAAGTAGTAAATTTTTTATTTAAATTAGTTTCTTGTTGTTTTATTCATGAGATGTAATTGCTTTTGTCTAGATTTGGGCCATTTAGAGTTGGAAAGTCGAGGGAAAGACATTCTTACTGATTGATTGAGCGAGATTTGAGGCAAGTGACTTGTCTAATTTTGTGTGGGGAAAATCCCCTTAGGATTTGATACTGTTGTAATAATTTGTGATATGTGAGCGCCGTGTACGCGAGCTGACGATTGCGTACACGGGCTAATTGTGGAAATTTCGGTTCTTGCTGAATTGTCTTCTTTTAAATTTCTTAACTGAGTTGCCTTAGCATATGTAGTCTTCTTTTAAATTTTGGGGGCGCTCATGTTGTTTACCTCTAATTGCTGAGCTGTTATTATCTGAAGTTTCTCGTTGTTTATATTTTCAGTCATTTCAAATATTATTATATCTTCTGCCTTACTTTTCTTTTAAACCAGTAGGGTCATGACTTGACCTCGTCACAACTCTACCGAGGTTAGGCTTGGCACTTACTGGGTACCATTGTGGTGTATTCATACTACACTTCTGCACATATTTTTGTGCAGATCGAGGTTCTCCCTACCAGACCATATACGAGTGAGATGGACCGTACGTGGAGACTTCAAGGTATATCTGCCAACGTCCACAGACCTTGGAGTCCCCTTGTATCCTTATTATGTTGTTTTCCCTTATTCTCTTCAAACTTTAATGTATAGAGACACTTAGTATTTTGTCTTAGAAACTTGTGACTTATTTATACCGGATTTTGGGAAATGCAATTATGGATTTGTAGTTTTATATTTATATATCATGTGTTGAGATTGGAGTTCAGTTTATTATTCATTTATTCCACAAATTTTTAGGCTTACCTAGTCTTAGAGACTAGATGTCATCACGATATCCTACATAGGGAAATTGGGTCGTGACAGATGTTAAATGAGAAAAAGTATAGTTGAGGAGGTAATGTGAACACCTTAGAATTTAAGTATGAAATTAGCAAAATGGGTACAATTTAGGGTGTTTTATGAATTTATTCAATATTAAGGCACGGAAACTAAATTACTATTCCATATGTAAAGTATTCAATATTTAGGTCGAATTACAGAATGAGAACACTATCAATTAAATTTTCTTATTCCACAATTGTTAACTACAATTAGAAGTTTTTTATTAGTCTTAATCCGCATCCACCCTTAGAAAAACTTCAACAATTATTTCTTGTTTTGTTCACTTGTATAGATTTTAAATGCTCCACGCCTTTACATAATCTCATTATGCTTACCATGTCGAAAACACAAGGCCTGGTTTGGTAGCATTTGAATATATATTTTATATTCAATTTGGTTTTAAAATTGAAATGACGCTAAACTTCGATTTTAATTGGTCAATTATTGATTTATTTTTTTCAAGTCAACCAAGTTGAATTTAAAAAACAGAACTAGAGATCACGACAGCATACCTAATAAACTGTAATTAGCTGCAATATGTCATGAACTTAATTCTCAAAGAAAGAAAGAAGAGAGAATAAAGATAATGGCAAAGGATATTCAGAGGTTTAGCTATGTTATGTGTCTTTTGGTCTCAATACTTGTGAATATATTCTTTTTCAAAAACATGTATTATGAGAAGGAGAAGTTGAGTTGGAGCCAAAGAGCAGCAGAAGAAGCAGAAGCAGTGGCTTCAATTTCATGCTCAGGAAATGGAAGAGTATATATTGATAGCATTGTTGTAGATGGAAAGCCTATTTGTGAATGCTATTCTTGTTATGGAGGCCCTGATTGCTCTCTATTCTTCCCAAATTGTCCTGTTAATGTTGAAAGGTAGCATTCTCCCCCTCCACAACCCTGAGATAAATCTAGAGCGAGTTTGTATATAGTTCAACTGAACTCATTGCTTGCGATCAATTAAAATCATAGGCTCCTTTCATTCTAGTTTAAGTGGCAGCATTTCCGTTTTAGTCTGTTTAAAAAAAATGGCATGTTTCTTAATTCTAAAAATAATTAAACTCAATCTTATTATTTTATTCTTAATGATAAACTTTTATAGTCATATAAATATTATAATATGTTTAATACCACGAGTTTTATTTATGACATGCTTAAGACCATAGGTTTTAAATTTTTTATTTGATTTTTTAGACTTTGTGTCGTTTGTTTTTGTTCTCTCTTGTCGTGTTAGTAAATGGAATTCAATGAACCTTTGACCCGATAATACAGGGTTGATTGGAAAAAAGTAAATTTTGTCAGTTTTGAAGGATAAATTTTTATTGGTCCAATTTTGAGCTATGACTCCAATTAAATAAACCCCCCTTAACCCTTTTTTTTCCAACTCCAAAAACAGACCCACCAAAAAAAAAATAACCAAACTCAGTGATTATTAAAAAAATTAACTTTTTCATCTTTTCAACTCTACCATCACCATAGTTGGACTAATAAAAAGTTGTCACGTGTAATTTACGTAAACTTTTTTATTTGGCATTGACCATAAGTCGTAGGGCATAAGTGAGCCAGAAAGATAACGGTGAGGACATTTTTGGCTCAATAGGTGGACGGAGGTCATATTTGTACCAAATCTAATAGGAAGTTGCTAATGTGTTGTTGTTTAGTACAGTGGGGATCCCCTATTCTTGGAACCTTTTTGGATACAAAATGCAGCTAGCAGTGCAGTAGTGGTAGCAGGTTGGCATAGAATGAGCTATTCCTTTCCTAATCAGTCTCACATATCAAAGGAGCTTGAGAAAAGCATAAGAAAGATACATGCAATTGCAAAGAATGCTATCACAGATGGAAGATACATTGTTTTTGGTGTTGGCTCTACTCAGCTCTTAAATGCTGCAGTCCATGCTCTTTCCATGGAGAAGCCTTCCTCTTCTTTCCCTGCAAAAGTGGTTGCAAAAATCCCTTATTATCGGGTTCGTTCTCCTCTATGATTCACATCTGCACAATCTCAAAGTCCTAATAATCTAGTTTGAAATATGTTACTCCCTCCTATCAGTTTTCAATTATGTGGTGGTGCTTGACTGCTCATAGAATAAAATAATTTTTTTTTTAAAAAATTTGGGATCTTAAACATGTCACGAGATTTCAATGGCTATAAAAGCATGCGAATAAAAGTAAAATAGAATGTTTAAAATTACATTATCTCCAAATATATCAAGATATCATTCTTTTACGAATAAACAGATAAAAAATTACGCCCATAGAATAGAAGGATTATACATGATGATAATGTAAATATTATTTTACACTATCCTATGACTAAGCCTATTGTACCAGATATTATGTAGCTTTAGTATATTCGATAGTATAAGTATTTTTATTTGGATGAACATTATTTGTCCCTTCCATGCAACTTAACCCGTTGAACCAGATATTACGTAACTTTAATATAGTCGATAATATATTTATTTTTATTTGGATGAAAATTATTTTGTCCCCTCTAACTTTACTTAAAAAATCAGAACTCCACTCCCATTTTAAACAATAGGCATTTTTCGTACATCCTAAGATGTCTATTTATCCATTGATATTTTTAATCCCTCTTCTATGTAATTATCTTTCTATTATATAAGATAATTTAATTTGGATAAAGTTGGAGAAGAAGTATGATTTTCACCCATTTTTATTTACATTATTATACAGTTTAACTAGTTATAGTATATTACTTATTCTCACGGTTAATAATATGCAATTTTTATAGATGGATATTTAATAGTTACCTATTAAGTGATCTGAAAGTAAAAAATAATAATTTAACTGTTAGAACATGGTCAAATTCTTGAAATAATTGTTCTCGAGGGTATCCTTTTGTTTTCCCAATACACTTTAGAAACAAAATTATTTCTTGAGTGCACTTGAAACTGATCTGAATTAATTAATTTTCTCAGCCCTATAAGCTTCAAACAGAGTTCTTTCAAACATTGCATTATGAATTTGAAGGAGATTCGTCCATTTTAAGAAACAAATCTGATTTTGCTGGAGTTGTGATTGAGTTTGTGACTTCACCAAATAATCCAGATGGGAATTTGAGAAGTCCAGTTTTAAAAGGCCCCAACGTGAAGACAATTTATGATCATGCCTATTATTGGCCTCATTATACAGCAATTCCAGCTCCTGCTGACAAAGATCTCATGCTTTTCTCCATATCTAAGCTCACTGGTCATGCTGGAAGTAGATTTGGGTAATATTAATATATTCAATATTTAATCTAAATTACTTTTTTTTGTTAATAGAGGCAACAAAAGTTTGGACATATAATCCACATGCAACTATGTCAAAAGTTTTTGGTCAAAATGTGATCTTGTGCGAACCTTGAGCATGTAGCATAAGCGGACCAAAAATTTAAACTCAGTGAGTACTAAATTTTAATGTTTTTAGCATTAAATCAATTATATATTTACAGTTATGAGTTCATGTCTCAATTTCAGTAAACTTTTACACATATTTATACTTCGGGTCGAAAATCATGGGTTAAATTGAACCTGTATCTGTAATGGTACATCTGCCGCTGGTCTGTAGAATACAATTGATTAGTGATACAAGAAATTCAAAAACCAAAGAAAAAAAGCCATATCGTGATGTTTTAATTCCTTAGCTTTCTTCTGAGCCGTACTTTTAATCTCTTTTTTTTTTCGCTCTCGTTGCTATTTAAAAATGTAGGTGGGCTATTGTGAAGGACGTGAATGTGTATAAAAGAATGATGGACTATATTGTTCTGGCTGAAATGGGGTTCTCAAAAGATACCCAATTGAGAGCCTTAACTCTTTTGAAAGTTGTTGCTCAAGGAAATGGCAAGCAAATCTTCAATTTTGGACATGAAATCATGAGGGATCGTTGGGAAAAAATGAGTCATGTCTTCTCTTTATCTAAACGTTTTAGACTCCAAAGCATTCCAACTCAGTATTGCACATTTCTTGACAGAACCAGAGAACCATCTCCAGGTAACTTTTTTAACTCAAGAAAACTTTTTCATTACAAAACTAACAAACCGGAAAAAAGATGAATTATTTTGTGAAAGAATTTTTGGTCCGGAATTTGTGTTTGTGGAAATTATCGAGTAATCGAAGATGAAAAAGAAGACCTGGAATTTTGTGAACAATGCGAAGTCCAATTTGAGAAAACCGAGTCGGTCGCTAGAACTACTGGTTTTAAAGCCCGAAATAAATAGGCTTACTTTTTCTTCATTTGAATCATAATTACAAGAATCTAGATTTGAGTGAATTCCTTAAAACCATTTAGAGTTTCAAACCAGACCTATATATGTTTACAAGCAGTATGACAATATACAAAACTATCTTATGTATGCCACTGTGTGTGTGCGTGTTTTGGGTGTTCATCATTGTGGCGTTGATGGCAGGTTATGCATGGGTGAAGTGTAAGAGAAAAGAAGATAAAAACTGCACACAAGTATTCAGAGTAGCAAAAATCATAGGTCGACCAGGCAGCAAATTCTTTGCAAAAAATCGTTATGTTCGACTTAGCTTGTTGAAGGGTCAGCATGATTTCGAGATGTTGATTCGTCGACTGAAACAATTGGTTTCTCGAGAAGATGAAGAAGGTGTACAACCCATGTCAAGTTTTTAACTACTAGATCGATCTATGATTATGCATCCATACCTCTTAGTATATGATTTAAAATGTCGTGTAAACTTCCTAGACTTTCAAAATTTCTTTAATAAAACTTTGACTTAATTGGCCACCATATATTCAAATTCTAGCTACACTAAACTATTGGATGTTTTCTATTATCTACTGACCATTAGTTTTTCCTATTATTACCCCTTGCACGACAACTCTGAAAATTAAACTGAAGAAAGATAATTTCATATCCTAAACAAATTTCTAGGATCAGATTAGTTGAGGGATGGATTTTTTAAGAAAGTTTAGGTTTTCCAAATTCTATAATAATTTGCAATTGGGATTACTTTTATCGATTAATTTCTTTTTGGCTTATTTTAAGGATATGGGGTTTCAACTGTATTTATTGTTACCAACAAAAAGTTATTGGGTTTAAAGAAGGAAAATAAAAGGAAGTCATGAAAACTAGATAACAAAACAACATATAGGAATTTTTTGTTCTACAATTTAATCTTCAATTTATGTTATTTTTATGTTAATTATTTTGGTGTTATTGTTATTTTAGGGCTAATGCTTTTTAATTGAGTTTACAATTATCAAGAAGTTTTTTTCGTGATTTGCAACTGGATTTATTTTTTGATTAATTTTTCTTTGCTATTATTGTTATTTTAGGTTTATGGATTTGAACTAGATATACTCCTCTCATCAAAAGATATATTGGAGAAGAAAAAAGAATTCAAGAAAATTGATAATAAGAAAACAAGAGAGAGAAAATAAAAATAAATAATAATTGTGAGCGCCTAATTTTTTTACCATACTTGAGTTTTCAATACTTTTTAGTATGTAAATAATTTTAAGTTTAATCTACATATTTTAACCTTTATTTCATTTTTAGTAAGTTTTATTTAATAAAATTAAAAATTACAAAAAAAATTATATGTTCTTGATTTTAAAATATTTAGCTAGTATTTTTATTTTACACTCTTAAAAGAAATAAAAATATTAATTAAAGCAAGAGCCAATGAGTCATTTTCATATGACAAAATTCTTTTTTATCTTTTGTAACAAACTTACATGCTCTCCCTAAAAACTCACATGAACATACAGTTGGCATAAAATAAATATACGTAAAATCTACATTTTACTAAGAAATGTTAAACACCGTTAATTTTTATTTGCAATAATTTTTATCTAGATAACCTCAAATATTATCTAAATTTTTTATTATATACATAATATTTACTATACGTTGACATAAAATAAATATATATACATATATTAGATTTTTTTATTTTAAGGGAGTCAACGTATAGTAAATATACATAAAATAAAAATAAATTTTATGTATATAATAAAAATATCTTGATAACATTTGAGGTTATCTAGATAACAATCATTGCAAATAAAAATTAACGGTGTTTAACATTTTTTAGTAAATGTATATTTTACGTATAGTAAATAAATAGTAAATAAATTCTATGTATATAATAAAAATATCTTGATAACATTTGAGGTTATCTAGATAACAATCATTGCAAATAAAAATTAACGGTGTTTAACATTTTTTAGTAAATGTATATTTTACGTATAGTAAATAAATAGTAAATAAATTCTATGTATATTTACTATTTGTTATCTAGATAAATCTGTCATCTTTATTTCTTTCGGTAAACAAGAAAATAAATGGAACATATATTTTGTCAGATCTTAGATTTCTGTTAAAAACTAAGTTCTAAAAGCGGTAAAAGGTAAATGTATATAAGTTCTAAAATGAGTAATCAAACAATTAATTAAGTCAGGTATGATTAAAGCGACCGTGCTAAAATCACGGAACTCGGGAGTGCCTCACACATTCTTCCGGGTTAACAGAATTCCTTACTTGATCTTCTGTGTTCGCGGACCATAAATAAGAATCAATTTCCTCGATTTGGGATTTTGAAATAAACTAGTGACTTGGGACACCATAACAAATATTCCAAGTGGCGACTTTGATTAAATAAATAATCTCATTTCGAATAATGTCACTTTAATTGAAAAAACTCCCCTATCTCTCGGGAAAAAGGAGGTGTGACAGCTCTGGCGACTCTGCTGGGGACTAAGAACCCAGAACTTCCAGTTCAGGGTTCAGAATTCGAGCTTATAAATTGATCTATGCTTGGCTTTATTGATTGTATGATATTATTGTGTTTGTGGGCCTAATGTGTTAATTGCCGCTCATTTAGCGCTTTGATATTATTTGAATTGTATAAACTGTCTTCTTACGCTTCCCTTCTGAGTCTTCTAAAAAATATGGTGCACACGTACGCGTGGCCCACTTTAATGTTAGAGGTCGTGCCAAATAGAACGAGGCTGGATCAGCAACTAAACCGGGTAGACTTCCGTGCTCCCGGTACATTGCTCCTACATCGGCTCGAGTTGTTCGCTTGGGTAAGCCATGTCTAGAACACACACCCAGGTTTAAACCTAGAATAACACAACCTCATGTCGGATCCCTAGTAGGAACATTTATTTGCATCATGTGCATTTGACTTTGGGGACTCAACACAGGGGTTGGGTCCGTCTAGGACAGGCGCACCCGAAATAAAAGACCATCCTGATGCATCTTACATGTTATGTGCGCATTTATTTATTTCGGCTTGCATGCTGATCGACTAAGGAAAGAAAATTAAGAGAAAAACCAAGAGTGAGGCAGGAGAGAATTCACCCGATTCTGAAAAACTCGGTATTTGGAAGTGTCCCGAAACTCTGCCGAAATTTTTGAAAAAAAAAAAGAAAATGAAAAATAAATTTCAAAATGAGTCAATATCATGTTCTCCTAGTTATGTCAAAATGACCAAACTACGCGGGTCTGATTCTCACCTGATGTGAGATACGTAGGCAAATCTCAACGGTTCCGCCCCCCAATTTTAAAAAAATCCAAAAGTATTTTCCTTTACTTCCTTCTTTAGAAAGTTTTTCTTTTAGACCACAATTTTTAAAAAATCCAAAAATATTTTCCTTTACTTCCTTCTTTAGAAAGTCTTTCTTTTAGACCCCAATTTTTAAAGAAATACAAAAATATTTTCTTTTTAATTTCTTCTCAAAATCCAAAAATATTTTCATTCTTCTTTCGAAAATTGAAAAGAAAATTCAAGATTCAAAAATATTTTCTTTTTCTTTAGAAGTATTTCTTTCATAAATTCAAAATAAAAGTCCAAAAATTCAAAAATATTTCATTTCTTCTTTAGAAGTTTTTCTTTCGAAATTCCAGGAAAAAAAATCGAAATTAAAAAAAAAAATTCTTTCTTCTTTAGAAGTCTTTCTTTTCAAAAATTCTTAAAAAAACAAATAAACAAACAAATCGAAATCCAAAAATATTTTCTTTCTTCTTTATAAGTCTTTCTTTCGAAAAGAAAATCAAAATAAAAAAAAAGTTGGTTTATTTTTTTATTCCTGATCTTCTCGAACTACGCAAGATCTGATTCATGTCCCCACATGATACGTAGGCAACCCACATCAGGTTTAATCGAATGATTTTTAAAAAATACAACAAAAAAAAAGGAGCGAAAAGATAGAAAGAAAAAGAGAAAATAGAAAGAAAAAAAAAGAGTGCTCATTTTAACGTGTTTGTTGTTTTGAAATAAAACCTGGTTTAAGTTGGTCTGTTTGTTGGTTTGCAATGACGGATCCAGGATCCCTTAGAAATAATAGCATCTTCTCAACCGAAGGAACAAGTACCACTATTGTGGATCCAACTAAGGTTACAAAAAGGCAAGTAGACAAGTTGGTGATAAAAATAGAGGCAAATGTTGGCTGACTTCTACCAGTTTTGAGCGACAGGACATGCTCTGCTTGGATGATCTATGATGATAGGGAGACATGAGAATTCATCCAAGTCCTTTGAAAAAAAGTTACTGTGAAATTTCTCATGCCGTCAGTACTGAAATTCGATAGTCAATATTAGGAACGGTTTGATCAAAAAGTCAAAATTTGAGTGTTGAATCAAATGCAATAAAAAGGACTGAATGACGTAGTAGTGCTGATGTGCAATTTGTGGCTAAGATGTCACTTAGCAACTGGAAAGTCACTCCTCTTTTAGACAAGGAGGAGTCTTGGTAGCTTGTTTTGTCATCTTTTCTGTTATCTGAGTTATCTAGGGTTGTAACCCAGATTTCAGTTTGTTTATCTTATTTTCAAATCCTTCCACCCTTTATTTAATGAAATACAGTTTGTCCCTTTATGTCATTATGTCCCTTTGTGTCATTCTATGTTTATTTCTTTCGCCGCTAGTTTTAGTGACATGACATGCATGCGGAATTTTCGACCGGCTTTTATAAAATTGATCTAGTCTTGAATTAGATAACTGAGAAAAAGCACTTTTGAAGATGAATAAATACATGAAACATTTGAAAAATAAGCATGAGCCAAGTACACGGTACCAAAGCAGTCATGCTCATGAAAGTTAAGGATCTCTACCTTTTGAATCATTGAGAAGATCATGCTTAAGAATGATCGGACGATTTGAAGTCTGTTTAGCACTAAGAGATATCAAGTATTTTTTAAAAGAAGGTGTATTCCAGACAACTTGAAATGGATCAGTTTAGTGGCAAAATACATCTTCTACATCAAGACAAAATCCAAGAAAAAGTCACCCAAATTGACAAGGGTCATTCACTGCGAGGAAAGTATTTCTCATACAGCTTTACACTGGAAAGGATCCAGAAAACAACATGTCCATCAATGTCGTGTTAGTGAAGGGCTAACATGAATGGTATACTCAAGGCTGGGTGGCCCTTTTTCTGCTATCCAAACATTTTATACCCTTTGTTACCCCTTTTGAGCCTATATTATTTTTTTTGACCACCTTCTTTTGAAATCAAGTTCAAAGTCAAAAGTAAAAATAAAAATAAAAAGAAAAGTCCATGTTCCCAAAGTACAAACTGGAGCAACTCATTGAAAGTTCAAGTGAAAAAAGAAAAAAAGATAAGTCAAAGGTCCCTGCCCCTAGAAAATAAAGGCTGGGGCAACTTGTTTTGAAAAGAAAAAATAAAAAGAAAAAGAAAAAAAGGAAAAGACAGAGAAATAAAAAAAAATTTAGGTCAGATGTTTGAACTACGTTTGACCTGATTCCTTTAAAAAGGA